GGGCATTCGGCTCCCTTGGGGGTCACGGGCGCGTTCATGCCCGAGCGCGGCAGGACCCCCACTAGCGGGAAGCCCCGCTCCAAGTCACGCGTCAACTTCTCGTCGGACGCCTCAAGCACGGAGCCGCGCCCCGCTGTCGCGCGCGCGCTGCGTCGCTGGTCACCCCTGCAGCTTGCATCATGTCGGCCAAAAGCAACAAGTTCTTGTCAGGCCCAAGGACGGAGCGCACATGCCATGGTAACTTCGCATAGCGTGCCTCGCCCGACCGCGCTCTCCGCCGGTGCTTCGCGGTAGCGGCGTGCCGGGCGGCGCCTTCCATTCTGAAGCCGTCACACGTTTGCGCTCTCGCCAAAATTGCAACGCCGCCTCGCGCCTCTCTTGCAAGAGTGCGTCGCTCGTCTGGCTCGCCGCCACCGCCGCATCGCGCTCAGTCCCGCAAGCGGCGCTATCTCGCGGACTCGCAGCAAGTGTGCCGCCCAGGCGGCGTGGCAAAGAGGGCTCATGCCCGCCCTCTTGTCTTCGTCGTCGAGCAACGCATCCACGGCGGCTTTGATCTGCGCGCGCGCGCTTCGCGGCTCCGCCCCCGTAGAGTGGCGGGCAAGGGCCTCTTCAAATGCGCAGCCGGCATCGTGGATTTGCTGGGGGCAAAGGTCGCCGCCCCCGCCTTCTGCGCCGTCGTCGGAATCAACATCCGCGTCCTGCGCTGCGCTCGCCGCGGGCGGGGCGGTCTCGCGCGCGGCGCACTGGCGGCGCCTCCTGCCCCTCGGGCGACGGCCCGCGCCACACTGCGCCCTCACCGCTGTCGGCAGGGTGCATTGGGGAGGCCCCGTCGTCTGCATCACTGGCTGGCGCGGCGTCCCCGCGGGGGGGCGCGCGCGCGCGCGCGCGGAGCGCGCCTCGGGCGGGCGAATAATTAGCATGCACAGCGCCGGCGCCCTGGCTTCACCACCGCCAGGACTCCTATCGCTCAGGCTTGTGCCACGAGCTCCCCGCGTCCTTGGGAGCCCCTCCCTTGCCGGCCTTTCCGCTCCCCTTCTTGCTGAAGGTATCGCGGCGGGGGCTGCGCGAGCGCTGGCGGAGGACAGGGCTCTCCGGGGTCCGTGGCTTCGCCGCCTCGCGCGCCGCGACGCGTGCTCGCGCTCGCGGGGCGCGCGCGCGCGGGCTCGCGCCTGGTCGCGCCGGTCGTTGCCGCCTTTCTTGCCCCCGCCCTTGGCGAACGCCGCCTGGCGGTCCGACTGCTGGGCTCTCTCCTACAGCGCGCAGCGCGATGCACGATGCCAGGGCGGCGGCCACTCAAAAGCGCTGCGCTCCTTGGCGGCGCGCAGAATGTCCCACGACAACGCAGTGAACGAGGCCGTCGCATCCTCGTCGCCGTGTTCCAGGTCTTTCGCCACTTTCTGGCGGAGTAGCAAATCGTACGTGTAGGAAACCTGGACGCGGCGCGGGCTCCCGCGCGCGGCCCCCTGGGCATCGGGCCCGCCGCTCCGCGGACGCGCCTTGACGCCCCCGTGCTCCTCGCTCACGCGCGCGAGCTGGTGCATGTATCCCAATAGCACGACGGGATCAAACACTTTGGACAGGATGCAGCGAGGCCCCACTCCATTACGTGGGCCTCGCGCCACGGGGCGCGCGTGGGCGCGCGCGCTGCGCTGCGTCGCGCGCGACCTGGAAGTGCGCATAACCGAGAAAATCCATTCGGTCCAGGGCCGCGCCCGCGCGGTGCGCCGCGGTGACGGCCGACGCGCGATCGCGCCACGAGCCCGCCCCCGCTGGTACCGAGTCCAGCTTCGGCATTCGCGCCCATTGGGGCTTGCAGTGGTCCTGCGCGCGGAGCAATCGGCGAAACGGAAGCTTGTCATTGCACGTGCCGCCGAGCAGGGAGCCTGCAGGCTCTCGCCCTCGGCGCCCCCAATGTATGAGCGGCCATGGGACTGGGCCGTCCGGCCCGCGGCCGCGAATTTGCGCATCGACTCCTCGGTCGGCAATCCCTCACGGGGGAACTTGCCGAGCCAGACCTCGCGCACACGGTCCTGCCGAGGCGCGCATCCCCGAACAATGCCGCCCGCGCGTGCGAAAACGCGGCGCGCCTCCATGGCAAACGCCAGCGGCTTCTCCCGCTTTTCTTCGAGCAATTCCTTGCTGGCCTTCACGTATTCTTCCATTGCCGCCGCAATCCGCGTCGTCTCCACCGCGGGCTTGGCGGCCGCCTCCGCCGGGGCCGATTGCTGACCCTCCTGGCGGCACGCCGCGCGGCGGCCCGCGTCCTCGCGCACCAACGGGGCGGGGGCCTTCCGCCCGAAGGCTTCCATCGCTCGCGACTGTGTCCGCAGCGCCATATTGATGCGGCACGGCTTAATCGCGAAATCGCGCCACTCCGCGGAAGAATCGCCCGCAAACGGCTTCGCGCCTGGCTTCAGGGCCGCAATCAACATATCGCGCATGGCCGCAACCGAGTAATCAATCGGGCGGACCGCCCCGATCGCTTCGGCCATCAGGCGCGCGACCGTGGTGCACAGCACCAGCTCGGGAGCTGGCGATGCGCCCCCCTCCGCCGCGTTGGCCGCTGCGACGAAGAGGACCCCATCGGCCTTGCGCGCCGCTGCGAGTGGGCTCATGCCCGCGGTAGACGCACGGAGACGCGCGCGCGCGCCCTGATGGCATTTTTGTCGGTGCCGAATGCGCCAGCAGGCAGATCGCCAAGCAACTCAACGATGTCTGAGCGAGCAAGCGCCATGGATGCTGCGCGCGCGTCGGAAAGCGCCGTGCACGTATCCCCCTCGGCGTCCTTTTCGCGCGCTGGCGGTTGCACATGACATAACCCGCAGGCATCCAGCGCAAGAGGGCAGGCAAACGCACGCCGCAGGCATACTGCGCACCGGGGCTGACAGGCAGCATCCGCAGGCATACTGCGCACTGGGCCGGCATGCGGCAACCGCAGGCGTACTGCGTACGAGGGCCGGCATACGGCACACACTTGCAGCCATACTTCAACGCACGCAGGCATACTGCGCTATGGGGGGGGGGGGCCGGCATGCGGCACTCGCAGGCATACTGCGCTTAATGGCCGGCATACGGCGCCCACTTGCAGGCGCACTGCGGAGAGGGGCTGACAGGCAGCAATCGCAAGCATACTGCGTACAGGGCCGGCATTCGGCATTCGCAGGCACACTGCGCACAATGGCCGGCATACGGCACACGCTGCAGGCATACTGCACAGAGGAATGATTGCCGGCGTACGGCATCCGCAGGCACACTGCGCACAAGGGACCAGCATACGGCGCGCACTTGCAGCGCAGCGCAGGGGACAAGTGGCCGGCATACGGCATCCGCAGGCATACTGCGCACTGGGTCGGCATTCGGCCCAGGATGACCCGTACTCATGTGTGTCCTGACCTTCGAGCCGCAAAACCGACGAGGGACGTAGGTGCTCTCCACGAAGTAGACGCGCGGACCTGGGGGGGGAGGAGGGGAGGGGAGGAACCTGCAACGGGAGAGAGAGGCGGCGGAGCGGCCAAGCGAACGCGCGCGCGGGAGGAGGGGCGAGGGGAGGAACCTGCGACGGGAGAGAGAGGCGGCGGAGCGGCCAAGCGAACGCGCGCGCGGGAGGAGGGGGGGGGGGAACCTGCGACGGGAGAGAGAGGCGGCGGAGCGGTCAAGCGACGCGCGCGCGGGAGGAGGGGGGGGGGGGAACCTGCGACGGGAGAAAGAGGCGGCGGAGCGGCCAAGCGAACGCGCGCGAAAAACGCATCCCGCCAGCGGGACGGCCACGCGTGAGACAAATCCCATCCACCTGCGACGAGAACGCGCTCGCGGGCGCGCAGGGTGGGGATCCGCCTCAGCCGTGAATAGCCGTCCCGCAGCATTAGAGACAAGCAAGAAGATAGCCAATAGGGGCCACGACGCTCGCGCGACTTCTCCCCGCGCTCAAATGCTGCCCAGAGCGCCCATCCAAACTAACAGCGGCCGCTGTTGTCGGGAGCGGCCAAGAGGGGGGTGTCCAGAGGGGGGGATGCAAATCATGACCGGCGGCACGTGCGCGGCCCAGCGGGGGGGCCAGGGACGTAATGAAATAAGAAGAGGCGCCATGAAATCTGGGGAATATCATGGCCCCCGCCATGATATCCCCCCCCTAGTCATCACCCCCCTCTTTGCCACCCCCGAAACAGCAGACACTGCCCCAAACCAACAGCGGCCGCTGCTGGGCCGGCGGCCTGATGCCTCGGATGGGCACGGGCCAGGGCGACACCGACAGCGAATCCGGCTCAAGACGAAGAGCTGCCGTCGGTCTTTGTGCCCGCTCTTCCCGTACCCCTGTCGATCGGGGGCGGCCCAAGGAGGGGGGCGTCCAAGAGGGGGGGGCGCAAATCATGGCCTGCGGCACGTGCGCGACCCAAGGGGGGACCGGGGACGTAATGAAGTAAGACGAGGCGCCATGACGTCTGGGGAGACATCATGGCCCCCGCCACGACATACAGTCGGGCTGCTGAAATAAGGAACGCTAAATAAGGAACGAAACTCCTCTGCGGCTTCAGAAAAGCCTGGGTGCACGCGAAGGGCTAGAGGAACAACCACGGAAGAACGTGAGAAACATCGAGCCCCTTCCGAATCCAAACTGTTGCTTGTTTCGGCGTCTTGGCTGCACCCCCCCCCTTGGTTGTCCCCCCCCCCCTCTACGCCGCCCCCCGATCGACAGTCCCGAGGCCTGGCCCCGGGCTCCGCCTGGCCGGGCTTCGCCTGGCCGGGCCTCTCCCGTGCCCGCTGCCCCCCCCCCCCCCGCCCGCCCCTCCCGACAGCCCACACACCCGGCTGCTCCAATTCTTGGGCGCGTGGGCCCCGGAGGTCCGGACCACTTCCCCAGGGGCCAGTTCTTCGTCCTGCGTCGCTCTTTCGACGGTCCCGAGGCCCAGCGCGGGCCCCCGGAGGCCGAAGACAGCGGAACGCCTCCCGTCGCGATGTTTGTCACCACGCGATGGGGTCTGGGCCCTCCCGGAGAGGGCGGCGCTGCGCGCCGGCCGCTGGTCCTCCCACGGCGCGCCCCGGGAGTGCGCCCGCGAGGCCGTGGTCGCCGAGTCGTCGCTCAGCCACCCGTCCGCCTGCGGGCGGCGCGAACGCTCGGAGGGGGGGGAGGGAACGGGAGGCACGAGAGCAAGCAGAGGGCGAGGAGGGGCGAGGAGGGAGGAGGAGGAGGAGGAGGAGGAGGAGGAGGAGGAGGAGGAGGAGGAGGACGAGGGGGAAGAGGAGCAGCGAGGAGAGGCAGGAGGAGGAGGAGGAGGAGGAGGAAAAAGAGGAAGCGCGGCGACCGCGGCGGAACGGTGTCGGGCCGAAGGTCGGTAAAACTCGACTTAAATCAACCATCCGAATGAAAACTCAGACCGTTGGACCTACCGTGCGTGCCTCATTCGAGGACGTGTCGAGACGGCCCCCCCTTGGTCGGAAGCCCCGATTTGTCATCGCTCAACCGAGGTTACACAGTGAGCGGCGCAAAAATGTGATTTTGAGACTAGTGTCCGCAGGCCGAGAGAGGAAGCGGCACCCAGGCACCCCCAGGACCGACAGCCCACAGGGCCAGCCAGAAAAAATGTCAAAAACGCGACGCCATCTGCACAAATTCCTTAAAGCTGTACACTCTCGCAGGAGGAGGGGGAGGAGGAGGAGGAGGAGGAGGAGGAGGAGGAGGAGGAGGAGGAGGAGGAGGAGGAGGAGGAGGAGGAGGAAGAGGAGAGGAGGAGGAGGAGGAGGAGGAGGAGGCGGAGGAGGAAGAGGAAGAGGAGAGGAGGAGGGGAGAGGAGGGAGGAGGAGGAGGAGGAGGAGCCGACGGCACCGACAGCGGCAGGCCCCACAACATCCTCCCCAGGTCTATGTCCCTCGAGTTCCACCGCGCCTCGTAGGCCCTCAGAGCCTCGACGATCCACTGCGATCCCCCTGCCTTCAGAGCGACGTTGGCCCACTGCATCGGCCCGATCCGCAGGGGCTCCCCGATCTTCGGATATCTTCGGAACGACAAAGACCCGCAGCAGGTCGCTCAAAAAGACCAGGTACCCAGGCACTCTGTGAGCTCGTGGACTGCAGCAGTCGTGTCATCAGCCCGACCAAAGACGATAAATCCGCCGAGCTTTCACTCTGAGCCAGGGAGGCCAGTCCCTGGACTTGCGTTTTCACGCCAGAACGTGACGACGTCGAGCCTGGGAGGCCGTCCCAGGGCTTACTGACATCCTCCTCCCGCCCTCCCTTCCGAGTGCCAGGGGCGCCATCCCCTGCTCTTTCGTTTTAACGCCAGAACGTGACGACGCTGAGTCTGGGAGGCGACCCCCAGGACTCGTGCCCGCATCACTCACCATTCGAACTCGTCCAGAGCCAGCTGGAGGATTCGCTCCGAATTGGAGCGCGGCGAGAGGCCTGGCTTCAACACCCCCCCCCAGCTGCGTGATGCATGCGATGAAAACGCTTGTCAACTGCAGGTCCACGAATGCGAAAGTGATCGTCGCCTGGCCCGCCTTGTAGGCGTGAGACACCCTGAAGCCTCAGATAAGCAGGCTGAACTCCACGAGGTTGGTGACGCCGTCCAGCTTGCTCTGCTGGTCTGCCCAGTTCCTCTGGACCGCCGCGCCGACCGCCACTCCTGCTCTGCCGATCTCCTTGCAAAACGCAAGGGGAACTTGGACGCAAGCGGGGCCCATGCCTCGCTCTGGGAATGGCTTCGACGGATCTTCCTCGTGCTCCTCCCTCATGGCGGCCCCCCGCTTCGCGCGCGCTCTCCCTGCCCGCAGGCCGCCGGCCACGAGCGGCAACTCCTCGTCGATCGGGCGCGTTTGGAACTCGGCCGCGTTCTGCGCCCGAACCTGGTAGGAGTTCGCCAGCACCCCGCGCGTCATAACGGGGAACAGCTTCGCCATCAGCTGCGCGTCCATGGGCGGTAGCCCGGTAGCGTGCCGATCACTCATGGGTCTAGCCCGTGGGCCTTGCCCAACTCCGCCGCGCGGCCGTTTTGCCCCCCGCCTTGGCCACTTCGCTGCCGTGGAAGGCGGGCGCCGCGAGGCTCGGCGCCGCGCCTGCCGCGGCGGCGGCGGTCGCCATGCTTGCGGGAAGCAGCCTCCGATCCGGAGCGGCCGCGATCCCGCGGCCCCCCCCCCTCGCCTCGGAGCGGGGCCTCGCCTTCTGCAGCATGTCTTCGGAGAGGCGGAACATCGGCAGGCGGCCGAACAGTCAAGTAAAGGGGGGCTCGCGACGCGCGCGATGCCCGCATGCGTCGCGAGAGCTCGGGCAACGCGCTGAAAGGATGCTCGGCCGAACGGCAGAGCTCTTGGCAACTTCCGCCGAAGACCGAGCCGCCCGTGAGAAACGCAAGCGGGCACTCGAGGGACTCGGGCTGAATGGTGGGGCGCTTGAAAGGGGAAGCTTGAGCGACGCGTCTTCCAGTGAATGGCTTGAACGAGATGCTCCCGAGCGATCCTTCGGGTCCTGGACGTCTGGGCGCAGAAGATGCACTGGTTGGCGACCGTTGCCGCGAGCGCCGCCGATCTGCGCGCGCGCACACCCCCCATCGAGAACCTCCGGCGTGCCGAGAGAGCCCTGCGGGCCTGAAAGGGCGGGCCGCATTCGACTCCATCGGGGCCTCGAAGATCGCATTGCCAAGTCGGCTCGGGCGGTGGAGCGATCTCAGGCGCCTCGGAAACTGGAACAGCAAGCCCGTGAAGACCAGGAGGAGAAGCGATAGCCACCGTCCGCGCAGCTGCTCTCACAATGCCAGGACCCCAAGCAACGAACCTGCCCCTGATGTCGCCATCCAGGAAAAGCGCGCTGACATTCACGCACCTCCAGGGGTCCAAGGGCGGGTCAGAAATTTTGAGCAGCTCCTCGAGATCCTCGGCCTCCGAGCGCTTCAGAAGCCTCAGGGCGCCCAGGGCGAACATGCGGGTGCGCGGGTTGACTTCGGGGCCCGGGGCGCCATTCTGCTGAATCGCGGGGGTCGCCTCGAGCGGGGGCAGGCCGAAGGCGGCCGCGATCCCTTGAGGGTGTATCAGAGGGCGCGCGATCCATCCCCGGTAGGCACGCAATCGACGGACGCGAAGTTCGACCCCAGCGGGCGCGACGCCCTCTCGACGCAGAACGACTTCGTCCGTGGGCGCCGCATACACATACCTACTACCTCCTGTCCGTCGCCGTCAAGGATGGGCTCGCCGTCGCCGTCGACCACCGCCGTCTTGGAACAGGCGCCGCCACCTAGGAGCTTCTGGCCGAACCCGACGAGGGCGCGATCTAGCCTGGACTCCTGAGTCTCGGACAGGATGAGGGCGGCAAGGCCAGACAAGAGGGCGCCTTGCACGACGGCGCCGAATGCTGTGCGAGTGAACCTCCTCGCACGGTTGCGCGCCCAGAACCTCCCCATCGACTAGTGCCCTCTCCTGCATGCCCAGACTCTCCTCTTCAATTCTCCTCGTTGTCCTCCATTGATGGCCGTCTGTATGCCGAGCGCGATGTTATCGAACTGGACCTGCCCCATCCACCTTCACCTGCCCTCCGAATATTGCCCCAGCGTGCGCGCGGGCCCCTCGACCGACAAAAGACGGAGAAACGCCGCCCCCCCTCGATTGCGCGCGCGCGCCCGCTCTCAGACAGAGCGGCAGTCGAGCCTCCGTGGGCCGCGCGCATGGTGAACAGAGCGTTCTCTGCCGACGCGGCCGCGTGAGTCGTGCTCGCGTCGTTGGAACATATGCGGCGCGACAGATCAACTGGGCGAGGGGTGAACGGAGCCCAAGCTGTGCGCGGGGCCTCGCTCGGCCACGGCATCTGCGACCAGTCCGAAGAAGGCTCGCAAGGGACACGAGGTAGGTCAAGCCACTCTTGATGGGTCTGAGGCCGAGGAGAAGGAACACCGTGCCAGACACGCGCGCAGATTGTCTAGCCACCTCTGGACTGGCCGTCGACATGTCCTCGACAGCACTGCTGCGGGGCTGTCGCCCATAAAGGCACCACATATACTGTGCACGGTCGGCGCTCCGCCCAAGCCAACGATAGCGAACGTGCCACGCTCGCGTCGATGATGGAAATAAGCCATCAGGCCCAGCGATAATCCGCCGACCCTGTCGGCGTGTGTGAGGGGCTTTTCCGTTCGAGCCGTCATCTCCGTCATTCTTTGCGCTCGTCGTCTCTGTCCTTCCCTTTCCCTGGGCTCCAGCCAAGCCGACCTTGAGCAACCTCGTAATTGAGTCGAAGGGAAGCCCCTTCCCTTTGATCCCTCCCCCGCCGGGAGGAGGGGGGGGGGTGCGACCCCCCCCCCCGGGGTCAGATACGACGCCCCCCCCTGGGACTCCTCTTCCCCTGGGCTCCAGCCAAGCCGACCTTGAGCAACCTCGTAATTGAGTCGAAGGGAAGCCCCTTCCCTTGATCCCTCCCCCGCCGGGAGGGGGGGTGGGTGTCGACACCCCCCCCGGGTCAGATACGGCGCCCCCCCCTGGGGCTCCTTCTTCGCCTGGGCTCCACGCCAAGACGACTTGAGCACCACGTCGTTATTGAATCGAAGGGAAGCCCTTCCCTTTTTTGACCCCTCCCCGCCGGGGGGGGGGGGGTTAGGACCCCCCCCCCCCCGGGTCCAGATGCGACGCCCCCCCCCTGGGACACCTCTTCCCATGGGCTTCCAGCCAAGCGACCTGCATCACCATCAATTGAGTCGACGGGAAGCCCCTTCCCTTTAGATCCTTTGATCCCTCCCCCGCCGGGAGGGGGGAGGGGGTAGCGACCCCCCCCCCGGGTCAGATACGACGCCCCCCCCTGGGACTCCTCTTCCCCTGGGCTCCAGCCAAGCCGACCTTGAGCAACCTCGTAATTGAGTCGAAGGGAAGCCCCTTTCCTTTGATCCCTCCCCCGCCGGGAGGGGGGGGGGGTAGCGATCCCCCCCCGGGTCAGATACGACGCCCCCCCCTGGGACTCCTCTTCCCCTGGGCTCCAGCCAAGCCGACCTTGAGCAACCTCGTAATTGAGTCGAAGGGAAGCCCCTTCCCTTTGATCCCTCCCCCGCCGGGAGGGGGGGGGGGGTAGCGACCCCACCCCCCCCAACCGTCGTCAGATTACGACGCCCCCCCTGGGACTCCTCTTC